CAGGGCTCTGTTTGGGATTTGCATTAAAACAGAACTAAAGCTTTCTTCACTTTACTTTGAGCCATAAACAGCTCTGAAAATTTGATAAAAGCCACACACCCTATCCTTAGAGAAACCTACCCATAGGCAAACTCCGGCAAGCAACGTCAGGGGGTTTATTGAATTCAGAAGGCCAACTGCGAACCACAAGTTACAAATTCTGATAATAAGTGGAAAAAAATGCCTCTAACAAAGCAAGCAAGACAGGCTAGCTAACCTTGGCTCAGAGATGTAACTTTTCTAAACTTTCTTGTTCTCTGAAGATATGAATGGCTTTCAATTCACGGGTTTTAAGGATAAAATGAGGTACGCATTTAAAACTCAGAAAAGTGCTTGGCACACAGTAAGTGCTCAGCAAATATCAGCTGATGGCATTTATTCTTATTATTCTTAGGACCTATGATTTGTTACAGTGTTTTTCCTTAGCAGCAAGATTTGTCCTAGGATTTTGTAAGTGATTTCCTGCCTGCTGTGCTTTAATTAAATATATAAATGATAGCAGGGACCTGTTTAAAAACATACAGCTGAAATCCTATGTTTCTAGTGTTGTTCTCTGTCTCAGGTCCTCAGAAAAGGAAAGCATTTAGTGCAGACAGAAGGAGAGAAAAAGACCCGTCTTTCCTTTTTCTGGGGCACAGGCACAAGAATGAGAGCAAAATCTATCTCACGAGCCACATTTTGGGTTTAGAAAAACTCCCGCTGATCTAGCAACTGTATGCAACTTTTGTGATATTTGTATAAGTTTTGCCCATAACCCGCAGCATTTTGGCAAAAATTTGCTGGACAAAACTGGTGACCTAATTTCTTGGTGAAGCCCAAATGAAGGGTTTGAACAACAAACAGATTAGAAATCTGGCATCTTTACAAAAAGACCTAAAAGATGAATGCACAACAGAACATGAAACAAATAAAAGAAAACTTACTCTTGTCTCCTGGGGCCCCGGAAGTTCTTGTCCAGACAGATGTCAGACCTCTCCCAATTAGAGCCCATCAGAAAGCCATCACACAGTAATTAAAACACAAACAAACTGACCCAAATGTCCTCCTGAGTAACACAGTTGCCAGTACCATAGTGTGTCCTGCCATGGGGGACGACAAGACTGGGTTTATAAGCTTTCAGGCTCCCTAACCCATCCTCTTATGTGCACACTGTTTTATGGGGCACTTACATCCTCACATTCACCCTGCCCTTTAATATTCTGGCCTCACTTGCTCTCTGCGTACGGGGTAGGTGGGCCTGCCTTGATTTCTCCACCACATAAAGCTTCCTCCGATGTGGGCCTTTGCACCTGCTGTTCTTTCTGCCTCCACACTCTTCTGTCCCCTCTGCACCCTCCCACCTCCTACTCAACATCAAGATCTGGGCTTGAAAGTTCCCTTCATCAGCAGAGCTTCGCCAGACCTCCCAGACTAGATGAAGAGCCTTATAACATACTCCAGTTATTTCCAAGCTTCCCCTTCACAGTCTTATCCCAGCTTGTCCCCGAATGTTTGCACTTCTGTTTGATTAAGTCAGTCTCCCGCTTCTGATGTAAACTCCACCACTGAAGCCAGCACCCTGCCTCGTTCATCTCTGGGTGCCCAGCACATAACAGAGAGCTTGGCACAAGCATGACCTCAGTGTGAATGTTTGAATGAAAGACAGTGATGACTTCCTCATTTTACAGGTGAAGGAAGAGACCTCAGACAAAGAAGTTATTCTCAAGGTCACAGCTCCTTAGTGGAAGTGCTGATGCCTGGACCCAGGAGTCTTCCGAACTGGTCCCCACCACTCCTGTGCTGCCTGGGAGGACAGTGTTCTTGCCATTTCTGGGAAAGATCATTTTGAGTCTTGGTATCCCTGCCCGGGGTGAGTGTCCAAGGCGATCACAAGCGCAGTTCCCAGTGGAAGCAGAAGCTCCTGGTGGCTGCCCCCTCTGAGATACCCATAGCCCAAGTCAGCAGGACTCCAGCAGTGGATGGCCCAGACCCCCTCATTCCAGGATCACTCAGCATCCCTCAAGGCGGGTCCCTGAATGCCCTGCAATTACTCCCACTCTCCCAGGAGCCAGGGGAGTAGGGAAGGGGATAATTAAAGAGGAGGGTGACAAACTCTTCTTTATCACCAAGAATATCTCCACCTCCTGGAGACATTTGTGCACTCTCTCTCCTGATCACAAAGCTACTCACTTCATCACTTAACTCTTTCAGCAATCTGTGAAGTTCTGGTCTAAAGCAGGGCATGGAAGATACTGGAACGAGAGGATGTAAGCTCCAGGAGGGCAGGGGACTTGCTTATGGCCACATCTCCAGTTGTTAGAACAGCACTGGATACATAGGTGGTGCTCAATGGGTATCTGCTACAGGAGGGAACTAAGAGCTCCCTGCATGTAAGGACCTTGGTTGTGGTGGTTTAGTCCTTAAGTCATGTTGGACTCTTGCAACCCCATGCACTGTAGTCTGCCAGGGTCCTCTGTCCATGGTTTCTCCCAGGCAAGAATACTGGAGTGGGATGCCATTTCCTTCTCCGGGGGATCTTCCTGACCCAATGATCGAACCCATGTCTCCTGCGTTGGCAGGCAGATTCTTTACCATTGAACCAGGGAAGTCCAGGGATCTCACTATATGCTATATTATAGTGACTGTTACTACCGCATTTTACAGTCTAGGAAATAGGGGTTTAGAGAGTAAAGAGGTCAAAAACTTACTAAATAGCGGAGCCAGGATTCGAAGCACCAAATGGGCAAATATCAGCATTGGGAATTCAGGCAGAAAGGGAGATATCTTAATTTCCAGTGATATGAACATGAGAACAATTTCAATACTAGGAAAGGGCTTTACCAGAGAAGGGTGAGATGAATTTGTTGTTCGGTTGCTTAGTCATGTCCAACTCTTTGTAACCCCATAGACTGCAGCATACCAGGCTTCCCTGTCCTTCACTATCTCCTGGAGTTTGATCAAACTCATGTCCATTGAGTCAGTGATACATCCAACCACCTCATCCTCTGGGGAGAGGAATACCATGCAGCAAACTTTCAAACCAAGTGCAAAGTCTAGATTCTTGGGGCCCATGAAGATACCATGCAGTGTGCTGAGACTCACATGGACTTCCTATCACATAACATGGAGTACTGCAGCAGGAACCACTTAGGGACCCAGGCACTGAGGGGTTGATGCTCCTGGAAAGGGAGAGCCTAGTCCCTGCAGGGACCTGAGTAGCAGTCAGGGCCTGGGTCTCAGGAGGCAAGATGGGGAGAGCTCTGGGGTGGAAGTCATAAGGCCAGGTTCCCCACCTTTGCCCCTGTACCTGTAAGTTCTCATGCAAATCTCTTCTTCTTTCTGGGGCTCACTTTTCCCTTCTATACAATGAGGACTGTTACTTCACTGTCTAGAGTGACTCCTGGGGTCTATTCACCTCTAACACCTGTATGATTGTACATACAAATCAGTAGTTGTAGGGTCACAGCATCTTGGAGACAGTCCCCTTGCTCAGTCCAACACAGGAAACCCTGTTTCAGCTTTCCTAGCAGATGGTATGAGATTCTGCTGAATAGCTCTAGGCTAGTGGTTCTCAGCCCAGGCTGATTATGCCTCCTGGGGCAACGTCTGAGATATTTTCGGTTGTCACAACAATAAGATGTACATTATGCATTTAGTGGGCAGAGGCCAGGGATGCTACTAAACATCCTGAAATACACAGGGCAGTCTCCACACCAAAGAATGATCTGGCCCCATATGTCAACAGCGCTGAGGTTTAGAAACCAGCTCTAGGCAAAGGGGATTCATTACATCTTGAGGCAACTCCTGGCGTGGGCATGTGTGGCTTGGATGAGCTTGAGAGGAAGCTATGCTCCTCATAATAGCCTTTCTGACCTTCCGTTTGCCTTGCGAAGAAACCAGGAGGAAGGTGTTTCCCAAAGATGACTATTCAACTGCAGATGGCTAGCACAGAAATTCAGCCAACAGTGATCACCAGTCAAGTGAGTGCACAAGGGTCAATGCCAGGGCTGAGGGGCCGATGTTAGAGGCAAGGTTCTCAGGGGGGTGGCCAATGGCTCAATGCAGGCTGGCGGGGACCAGCTGCAAACAGAAGGCTCAGGGGGTGCAGGGAGGGAGGCTAGTGAGCTTGGGTGGGGGCTGGGGACATCTGGGGTCTTTGAAGTGGGCAGTGCCTCTAACTTGGCCTACAATGGTAGGATCCAAGGGAAGGCACAGAGGCAGGGTGGTCCAGGAGGCCCGCGGGGTGGAGAGTGGTCCCCTGGGGGCACCAGGGCCATGAGATCATTCGAGGGTGAACACCGTCCCTGCCAGAAGGCCCAGCCTGGCCTGTCCTGCAGAGAAGGACAGGGCTCTGCTGAGAACACCGATGCCTGAGAATGATGGACTGGGCAGAGGATGGAGGACTAGAGCCTAGAGACTAATTAGGAGACTGGAGCAGGAATCCTGGGGCCAGAGGGCTGGATCCTGGGAAGTGGCAGAGGAAAAGCAGCTCTGATTAGCTTTTTGGCAACTCCTGGTTCCCTCACATTCCTTTTGGTCCTTTCTGAGAGGGGCGACCAGGCAGTGGCCGGGTGTGATGCTCTGAGATGTGGAGGGAGGGGTGGGAGAGGGAGGCGGCAGTAGGTGCTGTGATGGTGCAGACAGTCTGCAACCCCGTCATCCTCCTGTTCTCTGACCCCTTGGCCTGAAGGAGCTCAGCCTCCCACCTCAAGGCAGAGCCAGGGGAGTCTGCTCAGAGAGAACTGCCAGGGAAGCGGGCCAGCCCAGCAGCAGGGGGAGGCGCACAGGGACGGAAGGCAGATTACATGTCACTTCGCATTAGCCACACCGGCAACTTTCTTGAACCACCCAGAGAGGGAAGAATTAATCACAGTGTTGAGGACAAGCCAACAGCACAGACAGCCCTGGGACGGAAGGAGGCTCTATCTCCTTTCCAGTCATAAGCGGAGAGGAACGCCTCCCGGAGGATCAGATTTGCTTACCTGTGAGGTACATCTCCTCCCCCTCGGTGAACATCTGGTGGCAGCGCACACATCTGGCGCAGGTGGGGTGGTAGTGCTTCCCTCCCGCCTACGGGAATAAAAGATACAAGAGGAGGTCAGCGCTGTGGCTGCCGTCCAGCGGGGCAGGTCGAGTCTGAACATTTCCTGACTCACTAGTGTCAATGGCATCTTCACAGCCCTGAGGCTGGCTGGGATCTACCCAAGGGAGTCCCCCAGAACAATCTAAACATTTGCCAGAAGCTTGGTGATTCCATACCATGGGCATCTGAAAGCTTTCTGTGGACCTGTCTGGACACCGTCACATCTATTCCAGCAACGAAAGGGCCATTTGGAGGCCTCTGGTCCTACTGCCTTATTTCCTGATGAGAAAACAGTCTTACTGGAAATGCTGACGTCCCAGCACTTCCCCAACAACAGGACCTTACCGCCAGTGGTTCAAGACATGTTTTAAAGGGATCCTCAGGTTTAATAACACTGAATTCATGGGGGGAAAAAAAGAGAGAGATTTCCTATTCAATCCTCTATCTATTCTTTTGACTTTGTTTTTCAAGGAGAAAAAAAAGGAGTTTTCAAGGAGTTTGGTGCAGAGGATAACATCTATCCAAACCTTACTAATCTGCCTTTCAAGGAATGAGAATAGGTAAGAGTCTTGAAGCCGCCATTAGAACACCATTTTTTAGTTACTGGCAACATGGCTAGTGATCTTGGTTTTCCTGTTATGTTACACAAGTTTTCTTATTTGCAAGAGAGCCAACTTGAAGATAAGATAAAGCATTAGGTAAGAATGAATACATGATGCTCATAGGCATGGCAAAAATGGTGAGAGGGCATGGGATGGACACAATTTTAGGGCTCACTGGACAAATAAGGAGACCCACAAAGCCAGGACCTGTGGGGAAGTCTCAGACCCCCAGGCCAGTCCCATAACTACTGTGCTTGGGAGCCTCTGCCCCAATCTGGCATTGATGAGCCCCCTTCCCTATTCCCACTCTGTTTCCCTACTCATTGTTTCAGGTGAAAAATGGAAATGATCTGAAGCTGAGAACTCCTTTCTAGGTGGAAGAAAGCACCTTGGAGAAGGTTGTGACTCAAGGTCCCACTGGAAGCCAGTAGCCATGTGGGAGCTGCTCCCCGGAGGGCAGACCATCCTGACACTGCAGCCTAACCGAGAGGACCTGACCCATGAGGGCCCTTCCCTGGTGGCTCGAGAACTGCTGCATGGAGGAGCTTCAGGCAGCAATGGGGCTGGAAGGTGGGGCTCCTTTTGAAGGTGTATGTTTCAGGTTAGGGCAAAGTTTTTTGGGGGGATATGTTGTGGTTTAGTCGCTAAGTTGTGTCTGACTCTTTGCGACCCCGTGGACTGCAGCATGCCAGGCCTCTCAGTCCCTCACCATCTTCTGGAGTCACTCAAGTTCATGTCCACTGAGGCAGCGATGCCATCCAACCAACTCGTCCTCCCTTTTGGGGGGATATGCTTGGGGCAAATTGATGGATCCTGAGGTATTGTTAAAGGACCCCTCCCCAGCCATCACTTGGTCTGATGCAAATAGGTTCCTTCCAATTCAAAAATTATAGGGACTTCTGGCCATCATTGGTTAAGGCTTCGCCTTCCAATGTAAGGGAGGGTGTGGGTGTGGGTTTGAGTTCCATGCCTGGTCAGAGAGCTAAGATTTCACAGCCAAAAAGCCAAAATATAAGAGCAGAAGCAATACTGTAACAAATTCAATAAAGACTTTAAAAATGGCCCACATCAAAAAAATCTTAAAAATATTGAATTATAATTGCATAATGCTGAAGGCTTATCCCCAAATCTTGTCTGTGTGCTGGGGGCGGGTATTTGGGCATGGGTGTATCTATTTGGGAGATACTAGATTTATTCTAAAAATTAAGCAAGAGTATGAAAAGGCAGGCTTTTTAAAAAAGAAAAACAATCCCAAGTCCCTTTTTTACAGCCTTGGTTGTTTGCATGGCTCCCACTAATGAGATAATGTCCTTATCGTCACCAAAGCAAACTGTGTTCAAACTCTGGAAGGACCTGCTATTTTCCCAAGATGTCGTGGGACTGATTCTCCCATACCATGACAGGGATAATCGTTTTAATTAGTAGTCTCTTCCTACTTTGTGTCTCTTTATCATTTCAATTATAGATCTGTTTCTAGAATGGCAACAGTGGGTTGGCAAAACTGAAGCTGGCATCTTCCTAAATGTCACACCCCGGCACCCTGCTCTAGCCGAAAGAGGCTCTGTGCACATCTCAGAAACTCTGCCAAGGATGGCACAGAAGCCACCTGAGGCAGTGGGAGGGAGACCACATAGCCGCCAGTGCCAGCACGAGGGGAACCAGTCAGGGGGACAAGATGAGACATTCTGTTAGCAAGCCAAAGTCCAGAACATAGTGTTCAGGACACAGAATCAGTAGCTGGAAAATGGGCCCTCTTGGCGAGGACTGAGAACCACAAGCAACGTGAGGCAGGCAGCATAGGCCCCAGGGCTGAGATTCTCCCCAGCAAGGACACAGACCAGCGAGAAAGGAGTGTGGTTGGCCCTCAGCATGCTGAGTTCTGTCACTGAGGAAGGGACTGTGGGGTGGCCTGGGGTGGGAAGGGGACATGGAATTTAATTAAGTGCCTACTGTATACCCAGAAACATACCGGGGCCCATAGCAGGAGGCTGTTGTTTTGGTCTGGCCAACAGCCTTCCTCCTTCCTCCAGAAACAGCATCAAGCTTTTCCTGGGTGGGAATGACTATCCGTTCCCCACGTCAATCCATGTGGTTATTCCAACTCTATGGTCACAGTGATTGGTTTGGAGATGGGCCTGAGGTTCTCCAGCGAGAGCCAGTCCCAGGATGCTTGCTGAGCTATTAGGAAAGAGAAAGCTCTCCTTCCACTGGAAATGCTGACTGACAGGATGGAAGCCTAGAGTGACTGGTGTCTGATTTCCCCATTATACAGGAGAGAGAATAAAGCCAACCCAGAAGAAAATTGCGCCAAGAGGGCAAGATATTCAAACACATTTGTGTGAGTGCTGGATCCAGCTGTGCCTGAAGCAAGGACTGCTCCTGGGTTTTTCATTATGGGAGTTGATAAATTTCCTTTTTGGTCTGAGGTAGCTGAGTATAGTTTCTGTACTTGCAACCAAAGGAGTCCTGACAAGCTATAAAGGAAACAAACAAAATGTGTTTGTCCATTACTCTCAGACTACTACCCCACTCATAATACTTCTGACACCAGATGTGTGGGTTTTTTCCCTCTCCCACACCAAGCAATTCTCTGTGACACCAGCTGAGCGTCCTGTAATTTAATTGATTCTGATACTCTACCTGAACAGTGTCAGACCCCACAGGTTAAGGGCTCAGACCCACAACAGTGTCTCCCCCCAAGCCCAATTTAGATAACAGTCAGACCCCACAGATTAAGGGCTCAGACCTGTCTTCCCCACAACACTGTTTCCCCCCAACCCCAATTTAGATAACAGTCATTAAGTCCCAGGTTGTCACCTATTTCTGACTGACCAGCGTTAAACTGGGGTCCCCATGACCCCCAACTAGGGTTTATTAATATGCTGGAATGGCTCACCAAACTCAGGAAACAGTTATGTTTACTGGTTTGTTATAAAATGATAGAGATGAACATTCAGACGGAAGAGGTTCCAGGTATATGGGGAGGGGCACGGGGCATCCATGCCCTCTCACTGTGTACCGCTCTCCCAGAACCTCGGGTGTTTACCCACCTGGACACTTTCTGAACCCTGTACTCATGGGATGTTCACAGAGACTTCCTTGCATCGACAGGATCCATCATTAACTCAAGTTCTAGGCTCTCTCCCCTTCCCAGAGGATGGAAGCCAGGGCTGAAAGTTTCAAGCTTCCAATCATGGCTTGATCTTTCTGGTGACCGGCCTCCATCTAGGAGCCCATGAGTCACCTCATTAGAACAAAAGATGCTCCTATTGCTCAGAAATTTCTGAGGGGTTTAGGAGTTCTATGTTCAGGAACTGAGGTCAAAAACCAAATGTTAGAACAAAATATGCTCCTAATGTTCTTATCACTTAGGAAATTACAAGGGTTTTAGGAGCTCTGTGCCAGGAATCAGAGGCAGAGACTATTATATATGTTTTCCATGATTTCACACTGGCATATCTATTAGGAGTTAAATAACAGTAGTATTCTCCATTGATAGATAAAGACTCTTAAGACTCAAAGAAAGTAACTTGCTTGGTTTCACGGCTAGAAGAGATAAAACTGGAATTCAAGTCTGTTTAACTCCAACTGTGTATTTTCTCGACATCCCACTGTGTCAGTGGCCCTGGGGAACTGAGAGCTGTGGGCATTGGTGTGGAATACAGGAGGCTGGAGTCCTAGGTATCAGCTCTGTCTTTACCAGAAATATGGCATATGACTTTGGAAAGAACCACGTCTCAGGGTTCACTTTCTCATAAGTAAAACAAGGAGGTTGAACTACTTGACTGCTAAAAGTATCTTCCAGATCTAAGAAAAAAAAAAATCAATACATCCAAGATGCTAATGGAGCCTCATACAATGGAATCAATGGAAACCCAGTCACAAGAGCTGCCCAAGAAGAGGGGGCTCCGACAATACTAAATGACAGTAACTTGGGGGAAAGACAGGTGCTGATATGATTTCAGAGAAGCCTGGAAATGCTGGGATGAATTCCCATCTGAGGCTCTGGCCCTGCGTGTAACTGAAGTCTCTCCCTTCTGTAAAGAAAAGTCTGCTTTTATGATTTCTCAATGACATATGCCAATGACATATGGATGTGTCTGGTGGTGAAAGTAAAGTTCAATGCTGTAAAGAAAAACATTGCATAGGAACCTGGAATGTTAGATCCATGAATCAAGGTACATTGGAAATGGCCAAACAGGAGGTGGCAAAAGTGAATTGAACATCGACATTTTAGGAATCAGTGAACTAAAATGGACCGGAATGGGCAAATTTAATTCAGATGACCACTGTATCTACTACTGTGGGCAAGAATCCCTTAAAAGGATTGGAGTAGCCCTCACAGTCAACGAAAGAGTCTGAAACACAGTACTTGGGTGCAATCTCAAAAATGACAGAATGATCTGTTTGTTTCCAAGGCAAACCATTCAATATTACAGTAATCCAAGTCTAGGCTCCAACTACTAATGGCAAAGAAGCCGAAGTTGAACAGTTCTATGACAACCTACAAAACCTTCTAGAACTAACACCAAAAAAAGATGTCCTTTTCATCTTAGGGGACTGGAAGGCAAAAATAGGTAGTTAAGAGATACCTGGAGTAACAGAAAAGTTTGGCCTTGGAGTACAAAATGAAGCAGGGCAAAGGCTAACAGAGTTTTGCTAAGAGAACACACTGGTCATATGCAAACATCCTCTGCCAACAACACAAGAGACAACTCTACACATAGACATTACCAGATGGTCAATACCAAAATTAGATTGTTTATATTCTTTGCAGCCAAAGATGGAGACGCTCTATATAGGCAGCAAAAAACAAGACCAGGAGCTGGCTGGCTCAGATCATGAACTCCTTATTGCAAAATTCAGACTGAAATTGAAGAAGATAGGGAAAACCACTAGGCCATTCAAGTATGACCTGAATCAAATCCCTTATGATTATACAGTGGAACTGACAAATAGATTCAAGGGGTGTGATCTGATAGAGACTCAGTGGACATGAGTTTGAACAAGCTCTGGGAGATGGTGAAGGACAGGGGAGCCTGGCATGCTGCAGTCCATGGGGCTGCAAAGAGTCAGATACGACTGAGAGTCTGAATGACAACAACGACAACATGCCACTGACCCCCACTACTTGTGGGTGCCCCCTGCCCACAATTCTGCAGACCTGACAAGTGGTTCTCCTGAACGTGACCGTGTCCCACACCCCACAGCTTTTTCTCAGCCTGTATATCACTAACTGCTCTTGCAGAATCTGCCCAACACTCTGATTACTTCCCATCTTTTCTGCAGTTCTGTCCTCTCACCACCCCTCCCCAACCTTACCCAATCCTGCATCCCTTAGCGCGCCTCCTCTTTTTCTGACTTCTCAGTCTCCTTCTGCACTCCTGCAAGCTGCCACTCCCCATGTTATCTTCAGCCCTCTTCTCTAAGAGGGCTGATGACTTTCAGGGTGCTATTATTCAAGTCTTAGCATTTTTGAGACTGTTCCCTGCAGGCCTGAGCTTTGTCCCTGACCTCTGGTCCACATTCTCATTGTCCTCTTGAAATTTTCCTGGGATTTCAACCACGCTCCTTCCCAAAGGGAATTTATGTGTTTCTGCTCAGATCAGTCTTTCCGTGCCATCTGCACTTCTGCGACGGCAACACCAGACTTCCTCTCATCTGGGCTTGATGCTTGGGTTCAACCTCTGGCCTCTTCTCCTTCGATGGCTGTGTCTACAAGTGGCCCCATGGTTGCAAAGCTACTGGAATTCAACTTCCACAGTGTTGTAGACAGGCCGATTAATCCTGCCACTGTACCTCCCAAGTCCTTTTTGGGGCGTCGAGGTCTTCTTGCAGGTCTCCCGCTTCCAGTTTCCTTCCTTTAAACTTAGCCTGTGGACACCATGTTATTCTCCCTAAGGTGCAGCTCGAAGCAGGTCACTTCTGCTTGACCTTTCCCCAACCCCCTGCTGCCCTGTGAATTACAGACGCCTCGCCCTGGTATCAGGCCCTCAGAAACCTGGGCCCAAATCCTCCATGTACTCCTGTTTCATGCTTTTTCTCCACATTGCACTCCTACTGCTCCTTGGAAATGCCTGATGGCTTATCCACTCCGTGCATTTATCTTATTCTCTGATTCCCTATAGTCTTTTAATGGAAATCTTAACAATGCTGTTCTTTAGTTTAAAATTCTCCAATGAATTTCCACTGCATTTGCTATAAAACATAAACTCCTAAACAGGCCTACAAAGCTTGATATGATATGCCCTTTATGATCTACTCCATCTTCCTCTCGCCCTGATTTATAGAACTCAGCCACACTGGCCTTCTTCTCTGTTCCCTGAAAGGGTCAGGCTCATTCCTCCCCTAGCCCTGCACATAGCAGCTTCCTTCTCACCTTCAGGGCTCAACTACAGTGCGTCTCCTCAGAGTCCCTTCCTGGCTGCTACACTTTCTCCTGAGCTGAGGCTGTAGGATCCTTCTCAACACACTGCTGACTCCAGGCAACCTCGGTCTCCTGGCCAGATTTGTCAGAATTAATGATTCTGTTCATAAGGCCTGACCTAGTCTGTTGTCCCCCAGCCACTGTCAGATGAGAAAATGTGGGCCTAGAAAGGCAAAGATACTCACCCCAGAATCTGAGCATGAGTAAGCAATTGAGTCAATATTAGCACTCAATTATTTGTACTCTTAGGCTACTGTTTTTCATTTTTTGAGATTTGAACAAAATCTGTACTTTAGTTAATAATACTGTATCACATGTTAATTTCCTGTCTTTTTAACAAACAATATTTCTTTATATTCTCCGAACTGGATTAGGAGTTTCAAGCCTCATTCAAGTTATTTTAATCACTAATAAATTTTCTAGACTTTTAGCTGTGATTCTAGATGGCAAAATACATGAAACTATATCAAAATTTTGAGTGAATATAAATTAGAAAGCTTTTGTATACATATATATAAATATAATGTATATATTTTAGAAAACTTTATAGAATTTTTGCCTAGCAAAAAAATTTATGACATTTTGATTCTACTTGTTTGACTTAGTATGAATAGAATACTAGGCCACTGCTTTTCATTTGCACCAAACTCTTTCCTGCTTCTGACCCCTCAAGGTGGGTGGTCCCAAGGCATAGGAAGACAGCTGCCTGGGCCCAGGGCATGGGAGGGAAGGCCAGGAAGGCCAGCAAGTGGGGGCTCAAGCAGGGGCTCAGCAAGGGTGCTTCAGGTTGTCTATCACTGGCAGAGTGAGCTGTGCATCAGAAGCAGAGGAAAGTTGTTGCCATGGTGATGGACCAGCCAAAGAAGGGCTTAGGGAGCAGGCTGCTAGACAAGCTGGTTCATAAATCAGCACATTACCGAATGCTTAAAAAAATAAAGGCTCTACCCTTTAGGCAGGGCAAAGAAGAAAATCATAATTGTCACTCCCTAGTAATCTATCTGGGTCTGAATCCAGAGAAACAACCGACATTTCCAACACGACATTTTTTGAACAAGGAGTAATTTCGTCCAGCTTCTCATCTGGGGGGCACCTAGAGAAGAAAGGTTATCTGCTCAAGGTCATGTAGCAAGCTAAGCTGAGGCAGAGAGAGCAGGGGAGGGAGAGGCTAAGGAAAAAGGGGTGTGGGGTGAGTCTTCTCACCCTTCTTCAGGGATGACTCTGCGGGGTCACAGGCCATCTGCTCAGTCATCTTTATAGTTACTTGTACCCACTCACCTCCAAGACTCTGCCGCTGATGTATCGGTCACAAGTCTCGCACTTAATGCCAAACTGGGAGTGGTAGTCAGACTCGCAGTACGGAACGCCATCCCTGAAGAGGAAATCCACACAGGAAGAGGAAATTAGGGGGGTCCACAGGGGTGTCACGTGGAACTTCCCAGACCCACAGATAACTGTGACTGGAGCAAGATTAGAAGCACTCAGGTAGCTGTTCAAAGTGAAAACTGCCCAGACACCCCTCAGATCTACAAGATCACACAGTCCCTGGGGTGAGAGGGCTGGGGAATCTGCATCTTGACAAACTCCCCATGCATGCCTGGGAAGCACTGTTTCCTGCTGGCCGGGGTCCCTCACTCTTTTTCCTTGCTCTCTCCTCAGATTTTCTAGACCTACTCTCTTCCCCTTACCGTAAAGGACTCTTTTAAAAGGTCACTTAAAAAATAAAACTTCCATTTGGAATAGGTAATATCTGCATTTGGCACACTGCAAAGGCACAAGGGAAAAGTCTGCCCCCTCCTCTCAGCCTCTCCCAGTTTCCCTTCCAGGAGGTCATCAATGTGATCAATTTTTTGCATATTCTTAAGGGTTCCTCTTCTAACAAAACACTGGTACAAAAAGAATCATATGACTGTGTTCCTGAATCAGTAGAAAACAGGAACCCTTGCCCTCCCCAATCACTTCCTAAGTGCTCCATTCTTGCCCAGTGCTTATAACTTACTGGGCACTGGGCAGTAATAAGATTATTGTTAGTTATTCTTACACTATCCCTACTACAGTAGCCATTGATATTTACTGCTTGGTATGTGTCGGGCTCTCTGATGGTATTTTACATAGGTTATTTCATTTAATACTTGCCGCTGTCCTATGAGGTTGGAATTAGTGCTCTCCCCATTGTGTGGATGAGAAAGTGAAAGTGAAGTCGTTCAGTCATGTCTAACTCTTTGTGACCCCATGGACTATATATAGCCTACCAGGCTCCTCCATCCATGGGATTTTCCAGGCAAGAATACTGGAGTGGGTTGCCATTTGATCTAGTGCTAGTTCAAACCCACAAGGTCTGGTTTCTCAGCAGGCTGTCATGAGAAGTAAAGGATGTGGTTCCAGGGTGTCCCAGGGCTCAGCAAAGCACCTGTCCTAGGGGATCCCCATGATGGCTGACAGGAGTCCCCAAAGGACCTTTGGGCTCAGCTTTCAAGGGCCAACATAGAGATGACTGGGGGCATCAAAGCACTCAGACCAGCTCGGGCCCGGCCTAGCTCTAAGGCCCAGATCTGATGACATCTCTCTGAAGTGCCGATGACATCTTCTGTATGGAACAGAACTCACTCACATGCAGAGAGGCCTTAGACCAGGCACATCCACGCTGCTGCCCTGCAGGGACTGCTAGGAGCCTACCCTGGGCAGCAGGGCCGTCAGTGTTTCCTGAAGGAGAGGCAACATTGAGGCCTGGTGCTCAGCAAAGTCACGAGGTGACACAGTTGTTTGTGGGTCCTTGAGACAAGCCTCCCTCACCCTCAACCCTTTTACACTCTGGGGGGTGGGAGGGTTACCCTACAGGGGGATAAAGTCATTGGTCAGGAGGTGGGTGCAATGAACCAGCAAAATTTGGGTATAAATGCCAACACCTCCTAATTTGGACCCAGGGAATCTGCATCTTGACAAGCTCCCCATGCATGCCTGGGAAGCACTGTCTGCTGCTGGGTGAGGTCTTTGGGAATTTGACATACATGATTCTAAAAAGAGGCAGAGGGTAAAAATTAATCTTTACTGGGTACTGATTAGGTACAAAGCACAGATCTCTGAACCCTCTGAGGGTTCTTCTTCTCAGCCCTGTTTCTATAAATGAAGGAACTGAGACTCGGAGAAGCTGAGTCTCTTGCTGAGGTCAAGTGGGCTGGGCTTCTAACCGGGGCATCAACACCAGAGCCGGCGCTGCTAAGCACCTTCCACTCTGCTGGCAGATGGATGAAGAACCCAGAGCCCGGCTGCAGAGGCATAAGGCATGGTGGGTAATCTGGGTTGGACCTGCTCACAAGGAGCTCCGAGCAAACCCTTACTCCCCCAGAGAATCTGGACTTGAACTCACAGATTCAAGGACTCCTGGCTGGCATCTCACCAAGGGAACACCTTACTTGGCAGGCACAGAGGTGCATGCCAAACTCCCACTAACATGCGTTCAAAGCGCCCGGGCTGTGACCTCAACTCACCTCTGCAGCCTTGGACTTCACCTGTGCACACACCCGAGTTCTAGCAAACAGGATGGATGTGGCCAGCACCTCCCTGTCCTTGCCCAGGCTGAGCATTCTGGCTACAAGCTTTCCTTCTTTGCATTTTCAAATCTTACACACCTTTTCAAGGTCCAGCCCAAATATTACCATCTTCCATAAGGCTCTCACATATTCCAGATACCACTTCTGCTAGTTAGAAGTGAACAGTCACAGCCACAGCCTGTGGCTCAGACCTATGACACAGACCAAAGTCGTTTGGCTAGTACCTACCTCCCTTTGTGACAGCAGCAGTACCTTGCCTGCGTTCTGGGAACCACCCCTTCCCACCCACAGTTACAAAGGGCTGCTCTCTGACTCAAGGGTTTAGATCCTTCTGGCCAGTGACTGGTCAGGGATGGGCATGTGACCCAATGGAGGCCAAATCAGAGGCAGCTGTGGGACTTTTGCTGGAGTTCTTAGGAAAGAGGCCTTTCTCCCTCTTTGCCAGGTTTATGAAGCTGCTAGAAACAAAGCTTGGAGTTGCTGGTAATCATCTTTGCTGCCAGTTGGGGAGGTCCTGCTTGAGAATGAATCATACACAGAGGAAGGCAGAGCTGAGAGAGACAAGAAAGTCTGGGGAGAGCGTGCGGCTTCTGAAGGGCTAATGACAGCTTTAAGCCTCTGGATTCAGCCATGCCAGAAGCCAGGAATGCCACTGGCCTTCCCATTTGTATGAGTCAATAAACTCCCATTTTTGCATTCAAGGGAGTTTGAGTTGGGTTTTCTGTCACTTCTGATTGGAAAGGTCTTAAAGAACAGAATTTCTCTTGAGCTCTGAATCACATGTACCCTGGAGTCATCATTTTTTATGCATACAGCCTGTCTCTCTTATTTCTTGATAGCAGAACCATGCATGCTACAACTTTAATGCTCACTATATCCTAGCATTGGGTCAGAGAGTGATACTAGAAAATGTCTGGATCATAGTGTAAAAAGTTCTGAGGGCTCATGGCCCTAATTTTTTTTAGGTACTTGAGTATGTAAATATGATCATAAGGACCTGGCACAAGCGGCCTTGTCTAGTGTTCAGTGTCGGGGTTAGGCCGTCTCTCCTGACAACTATGTCCATCATCTCTTATCTCATTTCATTCAACAACTGTATTATCGACGTTGGGTCAGGCATTGTGCTACAGGCCGCAGTCAATTAAACAAAGTCCCACCCTGGTGAGGACAGACGCTAAATAGAATCACTGCGGCAATAACTTCCTGAGACTCAGTTTCTACAGCTTTTCAAATAGGGGTTAACACCTCATGGGGGTAGTCATGGGGCTTGATGTGATAATTTGTACAGAGCAATTAGTACAGTCCTTGTCCATACTAAAAGCTCAATAAATGATAGCTAATATTATTATCCTTATTAAACAGGTAACATGGTTAAGTATACAATCGCAAATGGTGTTGGCCTACCCGAAGGAAACCAACAGGGCTGATGAGGGCCACTAGGAGGGCCTGTAAGAGGTGGTATGAAGCCAGTTCTGAGGGGAGGGTATGGGACCTGAGACCAGAGGAAGGGTAGGAGCAAGCATGCTCAGAACAGAGAAGTATCTCAGAACAGGGGAAGCACCGAATGAGGGCCCAAGGTGAGTGGGGTGCTGCCTGTGGCTGGAGTGTGGCAGCCGGACAGAAACGGAGGGAGATGCTGCTCGTGACTCAGGCCAAGGGCCATGTGGGGCCAGGCCTGGGGGCATGCAGAGGTCAGGCAGGCGGGGCAGGGGAGAGACCTACTTGCTGATGTACTCCCCGGTGAGGATGACGCTGCAGGTCTGGCATTTGAAGCAGCTGACGTGCCACTGCTTGTCCAGCGCCAGGAGCGACTGGCCATGCTTGATCTCCTCCTTGCACCCGGCGCAGTCTGCAAAGACAAGAGGACCCGATGAGCAAAGCACCTTGGGCCCTGGGACCCTTGCTGTCGTCTCACGCCCGAGTCTAGGCAACCCTTCCTGAACGCTGGCTTTTCCGTAACTGCTCCCACCCAGGCACCAGCACCACTTGAGACTACGCCAGGTAAGGGAAAGGCCAAAGGCACCTTGGGAGGTGTGAGGGAAAAAGAAAGGCCTCACAGGGTTCCTCCAGGAAGCTCCTTGCTGGTCATCCTGACCATGGTTCACCCAGAGAGGACCCTGAACTGCTCCTAGCCTGTTCTCAAGTTGCTCACAAAGCTCATGCAACTCTTGGTGACCTGGGGAACTGCAGCATCAGTGTCACCTGGGAAACTGAAAATGTGTAGAAATGTGGGCCCCATCCAGATCAACTGAATTTTTATTTTTAACTATTTTATTTTTATTGAAGTACACTTGATTTACAATGTTGTATTCATTTTAGGTAATAACAAAGTGATTCAGTTACACACACACACACACACACACACACGTAATATATTCTTTGTCACGTTCTTTTCTATTATAGGTTGTTACAGGGATTAAATATAGTTCCCTGTGCTATACAGTAGGTCCTGTTGCTAATCCATTTTATATGTAGTAGAGTGTATCTTTTAACCCCCAAATCCTAATTTATCTTCTTCTTTCTCCTTTGTTAACCATAACTTTTTCTATGTCTGTGAATCTGTTTCTGTCTTGTAATCATTTGTATTATTTTTTTAGGTTCCACATATAAGTGATATCATATATTTGTCTGTCTCTGACTTATTTCACTTACTGTGACAATCTCCAGGCCCATTCATGTTGCTGCAGATAGCATTATTTCATTCTTTTTTATGGCTGAGTAATATTCCATTGTATATATATACCACATCTTCTTTATCCATTATCTGTTGATGGACATTTTGGTTGCTTGCATGTCTTGGCTATTGTGAATAGTGCTTCAATGAACACTGGGGGGCATGTATCTTTTTAAATTAGAGTTTTATCCAGGTAAATGCCTAGGGGTGGAATTCCTGGATCATACGATAGCTCTATCTTTAGTTTTTTTTGAGGAACGTCTATATTGATCTTCATAGTGGCTGTATCAATGTACATTCCCACCAACAGTGAAGGAGAGTTCCCTTTTCTCCACAGCCTCTCCAGCACTTGTCATTTGCAGACTTTTCATGACAGCCATTCTGACCAATGTGAGGTGACAACCTCATTATAGTTTTGATTTGCATTTCTCTAAAATGCAGAAAGTTTGAGCAACTTTTCATGTGCCTGTTGGCCATCTGTATGTTTTCTTTGGAGAAATTTCTATTTAGTTCTTTTACCCTTTTTGACTGGGCTGTTTATTTTTTTCATATTGAGCTACATGAGCTGTTTTATATATTTTGGAAATCGAGTCCTTGTCACTGAATTTTATCAAGACCTCCAAGCCCAGCAGAGTTTGAGAATCCCTGCTCCAAGCTTAGTTTCTACTTTTTCTCACCTTTAGGTTTGTACGCTCAACGGTTTGTGATTTGTGTGCTTGCCTAGCACCTATTCTCTTGCCTAGCACCATGCTCAGCACACAGTAAGAACTCAGAGCAGATGTGCTGAATGAGCAGCCTTCCTAGCACTCAGGCAAAGGATAGAACTTACCATGCACACCTCCTCCCTTATGTGACTACAAACCAAACATCTGCCTCCCCAAGCAGTGAGGGTTAAAGACTCTGATGAGATCGTTCCAGGGCAGAAAGGCACTCATGCTCTCCGTTTCCATCACCCTGAACCATGCGCTGAGGCCAATAGAATGTAGGGGGGCCCAGAGGCTGCCTGTTGCTCAACAATGTCTAGGGAGGGGCAGGAAATGGAGGCAGGGTCCGAGATACTTGGGAGATGCTGGGAATTCAGGCTTGGCCGACCGGATGTCCCACTCTGGAGGAGGAAAGGGTCAAGGGGCAATGTTTACCAGAGCACAGGCCTCCTTCTTGGCACCAAAGGCAAATGCACACTTGGGAGCAGTAGAGGAGGAGAGAGACAGCACAGCAAGTTGGGAGGGATTGGCTGAAGCTCTCTCATCCAGCTGGAAGCCAGTCCTGGAGAAGAGATGAGGTGACTGTGTCTCTAGGAAGGGGGTGTGTCCAGCAAGCTGTGGAAAGTCTGGGCCCTGATGAAGTGTGTGTACCAGTCAGCTCCCACAGTCCACGCCTCTTGGCTACACAGCACCTTTCTAATGTCTCTTAGCACAAGCTGGGGGCAAGAAGGTTTCCCATTGCAAAATGCTTCAAGTCCCAGGTCTTCAAATGGGGGCTGGCAGAACAGATTTAGGATTTCTTTCTTCTCCCTTTTTTTCTTTTCTCCTGGAATAAGTCAACTTCCACTCCATCCCAATCAGCACAGTCTTCAGAACGTCATTGTTTAGAGGTCAGTACCCCCTCTTCTTTTATAGACAGACGGCCTCTGAAGTGACTTGTCCCGTGCTCTGTATAGGAAAACCCGAGGGCTCAGGCAATCTGGTCCAGCTTTCTAGGCCATAGGTGCTGAATTTGTGTATCTGTGGGCCTTCTTGATAGGGTTAAATGGTCCCACAGAGGCTCAGAGTTCACATCAAAGTCCCACCTAGCACAGTAACCCTCAGCATTCTCAACAGGTGGGCACATTCCTTTAAATCACTGTCTCCTGTGGTGAGCAGCTCACCCCCTCTTGCCTTTAGACAGGGAAGACTGTCATGATGGCCTTTTTTATATGAAGCTGAGGCCTGAATTCTTGTGACACCCCCTATTTTAAGCAACCAAGGATTATCTACCTCTTACCCTAAATGTGTTTCTTCAAGTCTTTTATGACAACCACAGTTTCTCTCTTCTCCTTTATCTCCTGCACTTCACTTTTCCTTGTTTGACATGGTCTGAGCAAATTCACTTGTGGATTCCATGGAGATAGCCAAGTTACTGGCTAACACCACCATTGTCCATCTTTTCAATAAAACTTACTCAAAGAGTTGCCTCCTTTTGTGACCACAAAAGATTTGAGTCCCACCTCTTTAAGTTGCAGTGACACATCTGAGATGAAATTGGCATCCTGAATTAAAATTTAGGAGATGCTACAGTATAGTGGTTAGAGGTTGAGCTGAGAGGTTAGAGTGAGTGGAAAGAGGCTGGCCAAGGAGAGAATCCCAGCTCCCCAGCTGACTAGTTGTACAACTGTTAAGGTCCAGCTTCCTCATCTGAACATCTTCCTTACACCACTGGTGTGAAGATGAGCTGAAGTCAAGCCTGGAAGGACTGTGCACAGTGCCTGGCATGTATGTACCCAATAAGTGGTTCTTATCATTATTATTCCACATTCTCATGGCTTTTAACTCATACTCTGTGCATTATCCAATCTCTGATATGAGGTCAGAAGCAGCATGTCTGCTGTAGGGAAGGCCTGCTAATTCCTCCTGAGAATTCTGGCACATCTATCCCACATTTCTTTTTTTTTTTCATATTATATTGCTCATCCTCCACTCAACTGGCTTCAAATGAAGGATCTTTACCAGGATCTTTTTCCCCCTCTTCTTCCAGTTTTCACTTATGACCAACATTGGAACCTCAGGCACTGCATCCAGGAGTCCATGGACCTGGTGTAATAAGCAAGGTCAGGACACACCCTGTCCCAAGTGGATTCTGCCCAGCCAGCTGTCCACTCCATTCCTCATACATTCTTCTTTATTCCAAAATTACCACCTTCAGCTGGCAATAAGCATGATGCACCTGCTCCTCCTAAATCCCTCCATTTACTGTAATCTCTGAAGACCCCAGACAGTTATTTTTAGTTTTTTCCGACCATGTCATTCATTACAGCAAAAATAGGTGGGTATGTGAGTCATAGCAAGCTCCCCACCTTGTTTTAGGCAACTAATCCAGAAAGACAGGACCCTTCCTATTAGCAAGTCATGTCTCTGGTATGGGGTATTAAAGGAATAGGCTCCAAAGCCAGACTTGCCTAGGCTCACACTCTGGTTCCATTACCATTATCTGAGTGACCTTGACACTCTTAGAGTATCTGTTTTCTTATCTAAAAACCATTGCTCTTGTCTCTCTCATAGAATTGTTGTAATGATTAAATAAGATGTTATGTATAGAAAAATTAGTGCAGTGCTGACAGTAGCAATGGCAGTGGTTTCGGTGATGATGGTGATGGTACTGCTACTGCTGATTCTTTGCAGTGAGGTCTGTGCAGTGCCCGGCACTAGGAACAATCAATGTCAGTCAGCAAAGGTGATGGTAGTGTTGGTGATAGTGGTGGTGGCAGTAATGGTATTCAATATGATGCTGGTGATTGTGGAGATGGTAGTGATGATGGCAATGGTGTTGGTGGAGGTGGTGATTTTGCTTCTGCTCCTGATTCTTCTCAGTGAGGTCTGGGCAGTGCCTGGCACTAGGAATAGTCAGTCAATGTCAGCAGTGGTGATGGTATGTTGGTGATCATGATGGTAGTGATAATGGTGATTGTGTTGGAGATGGTGGAGATGCAGATTTTGCTCTTGATTCTTCTCAGTGTGGTCTGTGAAGAAACAGGTCTCCTGCTTGTGATAAATAACATGATTCCCATCTCTTGATAGTTCCCAAGTATTCTTCTTAATCTCTTCTGAGTAGATACTGCTCCTGCTTTTCCACAGTGTCTTGACATTTCAGGAATGAAACTTTACACTCCTCTGGCTCAAGAACACAGCAAGTTTCTCCTCCTTCATTTTCCTTTTCCAAGCTATTCTCTTCATCTTAGCACTCTTTTGAATCTTGTTTTAGTTCCCTCCATCCTTGGGGGACTCAGAAGCCCTTTCAACTTCCCCTCGAGTCAGGAGACTACTTTCTGTTTGCAGCATGGACAGTGACCACCTTTGGAGAAAGAACATTTCTCTGGAACATAGGCCCCATAGATCCACACATTTATGTCTAGACTTTGTGAGTAGCAAGATGAGCCATGATCCTAGGCATTCCCCTGGAGACTGCCCACATGCTCACTGTTCTTCTGTACTGACTCTTCCTTCCCTTCTTCTACCTCCTGATCTGAAGAATTATGGTGGAGACATTTAGTGGCCTCTCCTCGTGGACATGCTCCCATGCAGGCCTCCAGCACTCAGCTTAGGAAATCTTCCACCTGCCTGAGATCACCAAGGCACACAGTAACACACAACACAAGCTGAGGGAAATAGCAGCAGATTCAGGAATTTATTCCCAGTTCTCCTCTGGCATGTTTTCTAGATTAGACCGCCAAGCCAACAAAACCCCTCACTTTATATTTAGAGAGCAGTTTACACACTATGATGTGTGTTAGTTTGATTGTCAAATATAGATACATTTGCTTTCCACCAAGTTGGGTAAACTGAGCCACAGGGAGGCTGCTTGACAGGTGCGCATCACACAGAAGGAAGATAGCCTCCTGACTCCAGCTGGCTTCTCTCTATGGCCTCACATGTGGTCTCACTGGTGTCCGGGCACCTAAGCAGCATCAGCCATGGTCCTGTGGTCCTGCATCCCAGCATTCCAGACTTGCTGTCATTCTGGATGATGCTTTCAAGGAGTTATGAAGGATAACCTATATGCACTCAGCCTCAGCCACCTCGAGATGGAAACCTGCTCAGAGAAGCAAATTTTTCTTGGTCCCCATCAAAGACACTGAAGGAAGGCCTGGGAACAGGTCTGAATCAACTGAAAGGAGGGAAGGATGATGGAGGGAGCCCACCCCCTCCCCCTCAGGCTCCCTTGCTATTGGAGCCTCTGAGAGCCAAGTCCTGCTGACTTGGGGGAGGTGGTTCTGTGCTCGCCCTTCCCCTCAAGTGGACACAGCCTCAGCATGCTGACTCTGCTGGTGCCGTGGCCGACAGCCCCCACATGGAGCAGTGATGCAGCACAGGACGCTAATGGGCTTTCATTGATTCTGCCGACAAGGCCAGTGAGAGTGTCATGTAACACGAAAGAATGCTGGAGCCTAACCTGGCTTACAAGACCCTGGGTGTGTGTGTGGGCACATGCAGTGAGGGGTCCGAGAAGGGCGTTTTGCAACAGTGATTTAGATGCCTTACAGCTAGACAAGTTGGAATGGAATGGACATTCCACAAATCAGAATGACTGTTCTAAGGTACACCTCTGATCCCCAGCTCCCCTCCATGCCCCAATCTGTGTTTTAGTGATAGAACATGACCTTTGTGAGTAGTTCTCCGTTTTAAGAGCAGTGAATGAATCATTCAGGAAGCTTATTATGATCATATATTTCTAGGTCCCATTCCTACAAGTCCAAAGTGGGCCTAGCAATCTGTATTTTTGCCAGTTTTGCAGTGAAGCTAATGCTGCAGTCCACAGGACACACCCCAGAGACACTAAGCGCAGCCCTTGTGGCTTTCTCCCATGCTCCCTCTTTTGCTAAGATATGTCTGCATATAGTTTTTTAGTGGAATTTGTATGAATTGAGAGCCACTGGTGGAAAACACCTGATCAGCTCTGTTGGAGTGCTCCGGGCAGCATGGACCAAAGGGGAGATAAGGAGGCCCACTCATCCCAGGAGAAACACCCAAGCGGCCAAAACATGGCCCAGGCCATCCCTGTTTACTGTTGGGCAGCCTGTTTTCCCTACATTTGTATGTAGGGAAACTCATGAGTCTGGGCTGTCTGCCAACTGGGTCATACTTCAGGAGTCCTCCAGGGTGGGAACCGCCCCCACTTCCCTCCAGGTTGCGGAAGGGAAGTGGTTAGTGAAACTGGGACAGGGGAGCCCTGGGAGATGTGCTCACAGACGGGGAGGCACCCGGCGGGGAGGACTCACGGCTTGGTCCGCGGATCTTGATGGGCTTACTGCTGGTCATGGACTGGGAGCACGTCTGACACAAGCATTCCTTCCCACTGAAGGTCACCTTGTCTCCAATGGGGAAAGGCTTCCTGTGAGGAGGAAGAAGAAATTCAATACCTCCTCTCCAGAGAGCTCTGGGTCTATAGGTGACTTGATGACAGGTACTTGAAGATCTCTGGTAGCACATAGAGCACATATAGAGTGCCAGCTACATTCACGGACTGTTCCCGGGGCAGAGCTAAACCACTCAATCAGGATCAGGACCGGAAGGAGACCCAGTTGGGCCCTTTACATGATTTTTAAACACTGGGGAAATCACAACACTTATTTGAGCGTACATTTCTCTTCTATACAAAGGTGGTGGTGGTGGCTTAGTTGCAAAGTCGTGTCCAACTCTTGTGACCCCATGGACTGTAGCCTGGCAGACTCCTCTGTCCATGGAATTTTCCAGGCAAGAATACTAGAGTGGGTTGCCATTTCCTTCTATACACTAAAGAGGCTAAAAACTCGTCCCAGGGGTGCTTCCTTCTGGAAGCATGTCTTCCCAACGTGACCTATCCCTGGATGTCAGGAAGGACTCAATTCAGTTTGCCAAAACATCCTCCTTTCACTCCCCAGGAACCTTAGATGTCCACAGAGAGCCTCTTCCTCTGCTCACCTGCCTTTGAACGGTTGGAGTTCCACAGCTCAGGGATCTCAAGCTTGTCATGTCCTGCCTCCCTAACTAAATATAAACTGCTCAGACCCCTCAGTACAGCCAATCCCATCACGCAGCAGCTCTTGCTCATGTAGTCTAGAACGCCTGTTAACATGGGTTCTGAGCACATGGCCCTGAGCCTGCAGTGGTTCTACTGCCCTTACATTAGCGACATGAACAATGGAGGGAGTGCTGGGGAGGGGTAGCTGAGCTCTCGTCACAGCCCAGGCACTCACTACCAGTAAAAGGACATGGATCATGACCTTGAGAAGACACCTCATCTCCATGGGGCTTCACAAAACCTCCACTTTATACTATATGGACCCTACTGTGCAAACTTTCAACGGTTCTGGCATTCTAGGATCTAAGGACCAGGTTTTAAGGGCTGGATAAAAGAATGAATGCCACTGGGTGATATTTTCTTAGGCACTGTGGCATTAGTCTCAATCAAAAACCCCAAGTGGTTAATTACCCTAACTGGTAACAAAGAGGTGGTTATTTTATGAGAAAAATAATTAATCTATAGATTACTTTCCCTATTAAAAAGTGCATACATATACTCCAATAGTGCTTTCTTATGACTTTGAGCAGTCCATTAAATGTTAAAATATTGGTGGACAGGGTTGAGGTTTTCTTTATTTTTTGTCTCCTTAATATGGTATTTGGTATACAGTGGGTCCTTAAGGTACATCTGCTAAGTTAACAAGTGATGGGGATGCTTGGGGTGGGGAGAAGGCAGATGGTGAGCTTTCCATCACCTATCAAAGGTCTTGAGAATTGAGAGAGTAACATGGAAACATATACACTACCATATGTAAAATAGATAGCTAATGGGAATTTGCTATAAGACTCAGGGAACTCAAACCAGGGCTTTGTAACAACCTAGAGGGATGGGATGGGGTGGGAGTGGGAAGGAGGTTCAAGAGTGGGGGGACATAGGTATACCTATGACTGACTCATGTTGACATATGGCAGAAACCAACACAATATTGTAAAGTGATTATCCTTCAATTAAAAATAAATAAATTGTAAAGTCTCGAGAAGGTGGATGATGAACATTATGATAAAGAAAAGAATAATAAAATCAGACACAACTTGGTACCAGTCACTGAGCAAAGGTCTCTGTAGGTACCGTCTCATTTATCTTCCTGAAAACGTAATGAAGTTGGACTGGTTTTGATGACCATTTTACCAATGAACCTGAGGCTTACAGAGGTGGGGTCACCTTCCAAGGTCGTGGAGGAAGGCTATAAATAGACATCTCAGGACCACATGTGGCTGAGGATGTGAGAGCCTGAACCAGACCCATGGATTCCACACTGAGTCTTGAGAGCCCATGGCACTCAGTGGTTCCTTTGGGGCCTTTTGATGGGAAGTAGGAGATTTGAGTGTAGGGGCTCAGATCTTTACTCTGCCTTCATCTTGGAACAAACGAGTGTTTTGTATTAGACAACATCTAACAGACAGGATTCAGCTGCTAAATGTTCAAAACCATTTGCTTGTCAAGTCCTTCCACCCCTGAGATTCTAGGAATGAAAGTCTTCACCCCAAGATCTGCCTGGGAAAGGCCATTTATCCCCTTCCCCAGGCACCTAGGCAGAGGGTCCCAGCCCTGGCTGGCCACCCACTCACTTGCACAAGCTGCACACGAAGCACTTGGGATGGTAGGTGCGGCCCAGTGCGGAGATGACCTCGCCTGTGATGAAGTCCCGGCAGCTGTCGCAGCGGGTGCCGTAGAGTTGCTGGTAGTCCTGGGTGCAGATGTACTCCTGGTTCTTGAAGAAGAAGCCCGACTGGGCTAGGCCACAGCCACACACTTGAGGAAACAAGGAGGGAAATAAAGGCAGGTGAGTCCAAGGAAGGGTCTGCAAGCAGGAGGTTCTTGCTGGGGATGAGGCTGGAGGCTGACTCAGTTACAAGTGACCAGATAATGGTGACACATGGGAACTCATGGGCCTCTGGGGCCAGTGCTTCTTAAAGAATTGTCTGAAGATCACTTGCATCAGAATCACCTGGCAGACTTCTGGAGACTCCCTGGGGTTGCAGAGCCTAGGCATCTGCATTTTTAGCACAACTCCCTGGCTGACCCTGATGCGCACTGACACCAGCCATGGTGTACAATCCTCTTAAGATACACGCCATGCGGCTCAAAATGCAACACAGCTGGTGATACCATGATTTAATAAAAGAATCATCTGGTTAAAAATTTCCTATGTGCACGAGTCTGTGCTAGATGAAGACAACTTAAGATGTCAATGGGATATATGATTTGAAGATTATAATCTGTCCTCATCATACTTTATAAAGTCTTTTGGGATATCCTGGTGGACAAGATGAAGTAATGTAGGACGGATAATAGAAGAGCACGTGGATATAATTATAGGTGTCTGAACAACTGAATCATGGGGGGCCCCCTCCCCCAAAGGACTTAGAAATGTGGGAAATGAGATTTCCCTCTGAGAGTTATGAAATCAACACATAATGGGAAGAGCAGAAAGAGGCTCAGTTTCTTTCAAGATATCGAATGACTCTCAGGGCCACCAGAACTGCTGAGTATATTGATCCAGCTAAAGCAAGGATGGGTCAGCCAGGAAGGGACCAGTCAGCAACAAAGGAAAGCATCTGGAGAGCTCTTTCAAATCCCCCTTGTTCAGAGTTTGCATTCACCAAGTGACTGTCTGACAGTTTGACTTTCTACATAGGTTGCCTTTGGGAAGAAGCAGCTAGTCAGGGCAATGTGAACTGATATAACAGACAGTCACAGCTCTTGTTTACAGTAATAAACAGGCACTTAGCTTTAATACATTGGTTTCCCAAAAATGCTGTTAGCCTGACTCAGCTTTATCAAGTGTGATCTGTGGTGGGGAAACCAACAAGATGGTTTCCAAGCCTCTAAGTGCAAGGACCTGGCCTGGACTGGGTGACATCATCCCAGTAAGTACCCTCTCATCTTTAATACACCAAGTTATTTTCCAAAAGCAGCTTGGTTAAAGGTAGGAGGACTTCCAGTTGAATGTCAGAAGTATTTCACAAGTGTTTATTTACTCTGCAGGCCAGAGGTAAGATTAAAGGGCCAAGGTGAGGGAGTAGGGCAGCTTCAAAGTGAATCATGTGGGACTTCACATGTCACACCACCAGGGGAACCAGTCTAGGTCAGTGACAGACTCTACTCTGGGAGTCTGAGCACCTGGTCTCTGGTCTTGTCACTGCCACTAATTCTCTGGGTGACAATGACCTTGGCCCTCTGTAATCTGGGGCCTCTGTTCACAGCTATGCAAAAAGCAGAAACTGGGCAAGAAATGACCTGAGATTTTCTTCTGATATTGACATCCTGTGAGTCTAGAAGGAGAGCTTTCTTCATGCCTGACTATGTGCCGAAACATTTAAAACTCTGTATGAGGTAGAGCTGGAGGCCCATAGAGACCAGATGGATGGAGGAGGTGGTGATGGAGGGAGCAAGTCGGGAAGGGTCCATCTTTCATCAGGCTTCATTTTCCATCAGGCCTCATGAAAACTCATCACATCAAACAATGTCTGGTCTGGAAGGCAGGCAAGGCCAGAGAACAGGCTGTTCTGGAGTGTGCAGGTGGCCGATCGATTGACTCCGTGGCTGTGGAATTAGTTAGGTCATGGCCTACGACCTCACTGGAAAGAGCTCCTGTTTTTTCCCTTCTTTTCTCTCCTGTGTGTCTCCTGCCAACTCTACTCCCAGAGCCACCTCTCCCAGTGGAGAAAACCAGAAGGCCATACAAAAACTTGGAACAATCAGTTCCTTCATTTCCCCCAAGGAGCTGAAGGAGGAAGTTTTTGGTAGAAAGGATGTAAGAGTTGATAAGAATCCCAGGGTTCCTGGAAATACAGTGGGGACCACGAGGTGGAAGGTAGGCTGGACCAGCATGACAGATGTGTTTGAGCCTGAGCAGAGGTCTTCATTCAAATAACAGGAAGGGCCACGGGAAAGGTCTGCAGTACGGAAGTGACATGGGATTAATATATCCAGGGCAGTCATTATTTTGTGAATCAAAAAGTAAAGTCTTATAATTAAAAGAAAGATCATATGGTCTGACAATGGGACAGAATATGAGAACTCAGAACTGCTTCAAGAAAATAAAGAATGAAAGCTCACTATAAATATAATGCCTAGAAGAGGCTTTACACCAAGCCTTACTGTGTTTCAGTGGAAAATGTACTATTTTGAGGGTCACTGGACCTTCCTCCATATTTCTATTCTAGCACTCAGGTGCTGTGTGACTTCGAAAAAGTGACTTCACCTCTCTGGAGTTCAGCTGCCTCATTTGTAAAATGAGGGAGCCATGTGGTAACTGAGGACACATTCGGGTCTAAGAGTCTAGGATTCTGTCATATAATTCTGTTGATTTCCAACTTTTCAAATGAGACAGTTTTATGGACTTTCAACGTGTTAGAAGGTCCCCTGAGGGGGATTTCATTCATTATTTTAAACATTTAAATTGTGAAATATACATACAGAAAATGTAATAAATATACTACACTATATACTGTACCTTATAAAGAAGAAACATAAAATACGCCCCCAGGTATCCATTATGAAACAACGTTACCAGCACCTTGGAATCCCGTTCATCTCCCTAAGAACGCCTCCTTTCCACACTCCTTTCCCGAATCATGAGTTTACCAATCTCTTTGCTTTTCTTTACAGTTTTACTACCTTTGAGGTATCCACAAAGAATATATTGTTTAGTTTTGCCTGTTTTTGAATTTTATACAGATGGAATCATACTGCATTAACTCTTCTGTGTAATTTACTGCTTCATTCTCTCAGTGTTATGTTTTTGAAATTCATTCATGTCAATGCACCTAATTATGGTTCCTTCGTTTTGCTCTGCTGTATTCAACTGTGTGACTACATCACAACTGATCTATTCCACCTGTCCTAGATACAACTCCTTCACAAATATCAACACATGATTTACAGATTCTATCTTTCATTCTATGTGTCTACTTTTTACATTCCTGATGATCTATTTTGAAGCAAGGGTTTTAAATCTCGATGATGTTTAATTTATTCATTTTTCCCCAGTTGCTTATGCTTTCTTTGTTATCATGTCCAAGAAGGCTTTGCCTAACTTAACATCACAAATATTTGCTCCTATATTTTTTTTTAACAATTTTGTAGTTTTAGCTCTTACCTTTAGATTTTTGACTCACTTTAATTTTTGTGTATGGTGTGAAGAAGACTGCAATTTCATTTTTTTTGTGTACATATGTTCAGTTTTCCTAGCATCATTTGTTGAAGACTATTCTTTCCCTATTGAATTATTTTGGTTGTCTTGATAATATTCAACTGACCATAAATATAAGACTGTATTTTTAAAATTTAATTAATTAATTAATTTTTGGCTGTGCTAGGTCTTCATTGCTGCTTTCTCTACTTGCAATGAGCAGGGTCTACTCTCTAGGTGCAGTGTGTAGGTCTCCCACTGCAGGGGCTTCTCTTGCGGAACACAGGCTCCAAGGCATGAGGGCTTCAGTAGTTGCAGCACATGGGCTCTAGAGCATAGGCTATTATAGAGCACTACTGAACAACTGGGCTCTAGAGTTTGGGCCCAGTGGGATGTGGCATGTGGGATCTTCCCAGATCAGGGATCAAACCCATTTCTCCTGCACTGGCAGACGGATTCTTTACCACTGAGCCACCAAGGAAGTCCAAGGCTTTATTTTTGCCTCTCATTTCTACTCTATTGATCTCTATGTCTATCATTGTACCACACTGTTGTGTTTATTGTAGCTTTGCAGTAAGCTTTTAAAGTGAAAATTTCGAGTCTTCCAACTTTGTTCTTCTTTTCTAAGATTATTTTGGTTATTCTATGTATCTAATTTTACATACATTTTAGAATCAGTTTGACAATTTCTGCAAAGAAGCCAGTGGGGATTTTCATAGGGATTACATGTGCTATGAACTGAATAGTGTCCTCCCCCAGATTCATATGTTGAAGCCCCAAGTCATAACGTGATGGTATTGAGATAGGTGGACTTTAGGAGAAAATTAGGTTTAGATGAGGCCATAGGATGGGATCTTCATTATGGGATTAGTGCGCTCATTAGAAGAGACACCAGCACACTTGCTCATTCTCTTTCTGGTTCTCATCTTTCCTCCTTCCCTCCCTCCCACCTCTTTCCCTCCCTCTCAGAAAATGTGAGGACACAGTGAGAAGGTACCTGTCGGCAAGACAGGAAGGGAGCTTTCCATAACCTGACTATGCTGACACCGTGATCTTGGACTTGCAACCTCCAGAATTGTGAGAAAATACATTACTGCTGTTTATGTCACCCAATCTTTATTTTGTTATGGCAGCCTGAACTGACTAAGATAGCACCAAGTTTGTCGACTGACCTGAGAATATCGCCATCAAAAAAAGATTTCTGATCCATGAACATGGTATATTTTTTCACTAATTTTTTAATATTTTTCTTTCTTTAATATTTTATAGCTTTCAAAGTATAAATTTTATGCCTTCATTAAATTTATTCTTATGCATTTTATTTGATGCTATTGTAAAGGAAATTGTCTTCTTAATTTTATTTTCAGATTGTTCATTCTAAGTATATAGAAATACAACTAATTCTGGTAAACTGATCTTGTACCTTGAAATCTGATCAACTTGTTACTTTTAATAGTTTTTTAGTGCATTCCTTGGGATTCATTATACACAAGATCATGCCATGGGCAAATAGAGATATTCTTTCTTCTTTTTCAATCTGGGTGTCTTTTATTTCATTTTCTTGCCTAACTGACCTACCATGAACTTGCAGTACAACACTAAACAGAAGTGGTAA